TAGCTTCACTCATTCCTTGGTGCTCTCCTCAGACACGTTCTTGGCTTCTGTGACTTTCTGAGATCTCTAATGCACCCTCAGATTCATGCCCACAGCTTCATGCACTCTCCCTTCAGGGGCACACTGGCTGGCCTCCCCGGTCTTCTTCTGAATCTAGGTGGAAGCCTTCCTGACTCCACAACTCTTGCACTTTGCATCTACATAAAACCAGTACCACCTAGATGACACCAAGATCTGCTGCCAGCTTGAGCAGTAGATTGGCCCTCTTGGGCCATTGCTGCAAAGGCATCTGCATGCCTGAATGGCTGAGCACTTTGAAAAATAATCAAATAATCCCAGGATATCAATTTGCTGCACAGTCATTCTCAAGCAAGGTGCCCTGGGGCTTTTTGCTCAAAGCAAAATCTTTCATTTTTGCAGAGCAAAGGGTGGGATCTTGCTGCTTCCTGACATATCCTCAAGCCATTTTTTTCTGTTGTCAGCTATAATGCCTCCATAATCAAATCAGCTAATAAACACATGAGGCTTTGGGGGCTATTTTAGGTTTAAACTATAACAGTAGGTAAGTATAACAGTAGTAAGAGGTTGATAAGGGAGATTTCCCTCCTGACGAGGCAATTTCATCTAAAAAGTATGAGGAAAGAAGTGATGAAATATCTTATTTAAAAAGTAGTGCTCAATTAAAATATCTGAGGAGTATGAGAGAAAACTACTCAGGGAAATGTTGAGTTATCTAGTATTCTTTGGGGTGCAGCTGAGGTCCAGGGGGTAAAATCCAAATGAAATAAAATTATCTTGTTTACAAAGCTGCACACATTGTTAACTTGCCCTGTGTAGATAGCTTTGTATCCTAGTCAACAAAGTTAGTGCTTTAGTATTCAAGTTGATTAACCATTAGATTTTCAATTCCTTGACCTATTCATCTCCCAAAATTGTAATGGGGACCCCACTGTCACAGACAAATAAACCAGACAAAAATCAACAAAGAAATTTGAGTTGAATCAAATCTTTGAACAAATAAACTGAATAGGAATCTACAGAGCATTCCACCCAACAACAACAGAATACACAGTCTTCTCAGCAGCACATAGGACTTTCTCCAAAATAGATCATATAGTAGGCCATAGAACATATATAAGTAAATGCAAAAAAATAGAAATAATACCACACATGTTATAGATTATAGTGCAATGAAACTAGAAATCAATGGCAAAGGACACCAGAGAAACGACATAAACATATGGAAATTAAGTAATATCCTCCTGATCTAATCCAATGCAGTCTCAAAAATACCAATAGATAACAACAGATATCCTCACAAAAATAGAAAAGGCAATCCTAAAATTCATATGTAACCAGAAGAGATCCAGAATAACAAAAGTAGTCCTGAGTAACAAGAGTAAAGCAGGAGGCATCACAACCCCGGATTTCAATTTATACTATAAAGATATAGTGATTAAAAAAATAGCACAGTCTGTGCACAAAAACTGACATGTAGATCAGTGGAACAGAATCGAGGATACAGAGAGACTCCCAGGGACATTCCACCATCTCATCTTCAACAAAAGTTAAAAGTATATGCTGGAGAAAATATAGCCTCTCTAACATATAGTACTAGGAAATGTGGTTATCCACATGCAGAACAATGGATCTAGACTCATATCTCTCAACTTGAACTTCAATAAAATAAAAATGGATCATCAAAGATCTGAATGTTAAAAACAGAAACATTTAAACTGCTAACAAGGTAAATTAGGCAAAACTCTTGAAGGCATAAGTATAGGCAGGGAATTTCTGAACAAATCCCCAATTGTACAAGAAATAACATCAAGAATCAATAAATAGGATGGGCGTGGTAGCACACACCTGTAATCCCAGCACTCGGGAGGCTGAGGCAGTAGGATTGCTGTGAGTTCAAGATCAGCCTGGGCTACATAGTGAGTTCCAGGTCAGTCTCAACTACATAGTGAGACCCTGTCTCAAAAAAGATTCAATAAATGGGATTACATCAAATTTAAAACTTCTGCATGCCAAAGGAAACAACCAACAGAGTGAAGAGATAACCTACAGAATGGGGAAAAAATTGTGCTAGCTACTCCCCATATAGAGACCTAATATCTAGACTATAAAGAACACAAGCAAATTAGACCCCCAAAATAAAAGAACTAATTAAAGATGAGCTACTGAAATGAATAGACAGTTCTCAGATGAAGTTCAAAGGGCTAATAAATACAAGGAAAAATGTTCAGATCTCTAGCCACTAGACAAATACAAATTAAAACAGAATTGAGATGTCATCTTAGTCCAAAAAGAATGGCTATCACCAAGAAATGAAATAATAACAAATGTTAGAGAAGTTGCAGGGAAAAAAGGAACCCTTCTGCATTGTTAGTGGAAATGTAAGCTAGTATAACCATTATGAAAATCAGTACAGAGATTCTCCCAAAAGTAAAAGCATAAAATCCATTTGACCTAGGTGTTCCCCTTCAATGTATCTTCCCAAAAGAGTTAAAGATATCACACTACAGTGATACAAGCATACCCATGTTTATAGCATCTTATCCATAATAGCTAAATTTTGGAAGTGGGCTATATGTCCATCAACAGATGAATGAATAAGAAATATATGATATTTATGCACAATAGAGTACTACTCTGACATAAAAAGGATAAAGTTGAGTAATTTGTAGGAAAATGGATGCACCTTTCGATCATAATGCTAAATAAAACAAGGCATACACACAAAAGTTTAAATATCACATGGTTTCTCTTATATGAGAAAGCCAAAATATATAGAGAGAAATAAAAATAGATAATAAAAATGTGGAAATAGGTCTTTTGCAAAAGGGAAGGAAATCAAGAGATGAAGGTGGGAGGGAAGGGAAGTAAAGGGGATGAAAAAGAATTAAGATGTGTTATGTACATGTACCAACTCCCCATGATGAATGTAATCATTTTGTACTGCAAATATGTGCTATTAAAATATAAATATGAAAGAGAAAGAAATTGTACTGAATCTGTATGCCTCTTTGGAAAGTATTGTCCTCTTAATATTATTATGTCGTCCAATCTGTAAATGTGGGATATGTTTTCATTTACTTAGGTCTTCTTTAATTTCTTTCAACAATGCTTTGTAGTTTCCAGAGTGTAAGTTTGGCATTTATTTTGCTAAATTACTCAGTATTATATTCCTTTTGATGCTATTGTAGATAGAATTCCTTTTGTTTTTTATCAGTAATGTTTAAAAATACAGGTGATTTTTATATACTGATCTTAAATGCGGCAATTTTGGTTAACTATTAGTCCCAGTAATTCTTTTCTTTGTAGACTCCTTACCATTTTCTCCATACAAGATCAGGTCACATGTAGAAAAAGATAATTTTACTTGTTCTTATCCAATCTGAATACCTTTTATTTCATTTTTTTTACCTAATTCCCCCAGCCAGAACCTCCAGTACAATATTAAATAGAAACATTTTGTTCCTTATCTCAGGGGAAAGTTTTTAATCTTTTGCCATTAATATTAGCTATGGGGTTTCCATAAATGGTTTTTACAGTGTGAGGAAGTTCTCTTCTATTCCATGTTTATTGAGAAGTTTTCAAAAAGAAAAGAGTATTGAATTTTTTTCAAATGCTTTTTCTGAGTCTATTGAAGTGATCATTGATTTTATCCTTTATTCTGTTGATGTACTCAGCATGATTTTGAAGAACATATTGTAAGAACTATTGGAGAAGTCTTCTAGCTACACAGTAAAAAAGTTTCCTTACTTAACCAAAAGTACCCTCTACAAAACATGGTAAAAAGCTTTTTCCGAGTTCAGGAAAAGACATCACTAGAAGCAATCTAATTGGAAAGCTACTAGGAGCAATGACTGAGAGATACTTCAAGATACCCCTCTAGAAAAAAACTTTATCTTCATGACTTTATAATTCATTTTTCTATTTTAGGGAAGTTGCAAGAGGAAGATGCTCAAAAATCACCCAACTCCTTTGCTGTATGCATAGTAAGCTAAATTGGCCAAAAACACATGTCAGATGATCTTCTTTCTCCCAGAGAGGACAGATAAATATGGCTGGGTAGTAGTAGACATGAAATTTAAAAGATGTTGGAAGTAGATGTAGAAAGGAGAATATATGTGCGGTGTTTTTGTGGGAGAGAGAGAGAGAGAGAGAGAGAGAGAGAGAGAGAGAGAGCTATCCAATTCAATGTGATGTAGTCAGAGATGATTCTCTAAGAAAAAACACAAACAGAGGTTTGGACCTAGTGTCTTGAGTGAAAGAAAGGGAAAGAGACAATAAAGCATGCTAATTATATCACCACTTAGACATAGATGGTCTTGGTTTGGATCCCAAATCTGTCACTAAACATTTTGGGACCTTGAAAAAGTTATTTTACTTCCTCAATCTTTGGTTTTTTTCACCGATGTAGTAGACACAGAGTTGTTAAGAATAAATGAGATTGTGTTTTGTGTTTTAAAGCCTCCAGCGAAGTACCTAGCATGTAAATATAATTTCATAAAAATGGACATTTCCTCCCTGACTTAGAAAACAATGATACTAACAGGTCATTGGATGAATGAATGAGGAGTAGGAAGGTGATTTTACCCAATTTTCCAGATGAAAGATCATGGACACTGAAGAAAAATGCTTGAGTTCATGAGGAGTCAATTTAATTTCTTTCTTTCTCTCTCTCTCTCTCTCTCTTTTTTTTTTTTTTGGATTTTTGAGACAGGGTGTCACTACGTAGTTGAGATTGACCTGGAACTCACTATGTAGCCCAGGCTGGTCTCGAACTCACAGCAATCCTCCTGCCTCAGTCTCCCAAGTGCTGGGATTACAAGCTTGCGCCACCACGCCCGGCTTCAATTTAATTTCTTTACACAAGACAAAACAACAAAATCTATGAGTTTTTGTATCAGAGTGTTTTCTACTGCATGTCAAAAGAAACTTCTGCCATAATATGGCTTAAACAATAAAATATAATGATTTATCTTACATTGTAGGTCATCCAGTCATAGTACATACTGCAAGGTTAGTTTAGCATCTGGATAATCTCATGAAGGACGTATATTCTTTGGTACCTCTTCTCATCACCTATATCGTTCGCTCCATTCATCCTAGGGTCAGTTTCTTCTGTAATTGTTAAAAAAAAAAAGCTATTTGAGGCAATCATTATATGTGCACTAGTTCATATCACATGCCTCTTCTTCAAGTATAAAGTAAAATCCTTCTTTTCAGTATCATTAGAGTTCTCACTGGTCACTGTACATCCCTGAACTTATTAATAACAATTATTACTAGACTGTCATCCTCTGACTGGCTTAAGCCTAGGTGCCTAAACCAATTCCCACCGAATGAGGAAGAGGATTACCATAGATGAGTCACACTAATCAGGCCATGAAAATTAATCCAAGATGCTCAATATGCAGTTAATAGGGATTACAGAGAAAGCAGAAGAAATAGAAAGAAATTACCAATAAATAATGTAAATTAATTTCCCAAAATAGGACACAAGTCTCTAGATCGGAAGTAACAAAAGAAATACAGAGAGGACACATGAAGCAGCCATGAGATCCAGGACTCTAGTCAAGAAAAGTCCCTGAACGACAACTATTGCAGAGCAGCAGTTTTCAACCAGTAATTATTTCACCTCTGCACTGGTCTGCCAGTAACAATTGGTTATGTCTAGAGATGTTTTGGATGTCACCTATCACAATGTGTGTGTGTGTGTGTGTGTGTGCGTGCGCACGCGCGCGCAAATGCTTGCATGACATTATATCTAATGGATATATGAGGCTGAGGGTGCTGCTAACCATCTTAAAATGTTATGGGACAACACCTTGCAACAAAGAAGTATCTGACCTAAATGGCAGTGGTGGCAAGGTTAAGAAGCCTGTACAAGAGAGTCACAAATCCAGATTGAGGCATGAAAATAGACTGGAGAGAGAGAAGTAAGGAAATTTCTACAAAAAACTTTATTGTTATGGAGGATTTGAAGGAAATTAAGCAATACAATAAAGGTAAGTAACATAAGAAATACAGACAGATTTTAAATGTCAGGGTTCTTGGAATCTCTTGCGTTTTGTAGAGAATAATGTCATGACTTAGGTTTAGACGCCCCCGCAAGCCTATGCAGTCACAGGTGGGACTTTTTCAGAGGTGGCTGGATCTAGAGTGTGTGATGCTGGAATTGATTCATGGCGCAATGCAAAGATAAAGGGCACTAGGATTAAGGGTGTGAGTGCTGCCTGCCTTAAATAGTCTGGATAAGACAAAAGGGGCAGAAAAATGGTGTTAAGGTTTCTTGCTTTTGCTATCTTCTGCTTGCCATGAACTGGCTCTCCTAAGAGTGCCATGTGCCACCCTGTCTTGAAGCCAGTCAACTGTGGACCAAAACCTCTACAAAGTGGGAGCTAAATAAACTTTTCCCTTTTTAACCTTGGGTGAAGGGTACTTAGTCTCGGCAATGAGAGAAAAGTAACTAATACAAATAATATTTACATAGTCACAAAAATAAAATAATCTTTGCTAATTTTAACCTTTTGGAATTAAAGACAGCATGGATAACTTAATTAGCAACTTAACAATATAAAATTTAAAATACAGGTGAAAGAAGCTGGGAAGTAAAAGGGAAGGAGGAGAAATGAAGGAAAGGTGAAAGAGGATTAAAATCATCATATACAGTGAGGAGAGTACTATGTGTGATGAAACAAAAATGGAAGTGTACTCATATTAATGTTACAAGAGTGTCTCTTGTATTCGGGGATTCTTCCTGCAGATACTTCCCAAGCCTCTCACTCCGTTTTGACAAAATATTTTTCCTGGTGGTACTTGGGATTGAACCCAGGCCTTTTTAAATTATTTTTATTTTTTGTTTTTTGTTTTTCATTTTTGAGACAGGGTCTCACTATGTAGTTGAGACTAACCTGGAACTCACTATGTAGCCCAGGCTGGTCCCGAACTCAGAGATCCTCCTGCCTCAGCCTCCTGAGTGCTAGGATTACAGGTGTGCACCACCACACCAGGCTCTAATTATTTTTATTTTTAAGGCAAGATCTAAGTCACTGAGTTGCCCAAGGTAGGCTCTAACTTGTGGTCTTCCTTCCTCAGCCTCCCACAGTGCTGGGATTATAGGGGTGTGCCATCATGCCTGGCTTGGCAACACGTTTTGAGAACTAAACTGTAAGAACTAAACATTTTTAGGCAGAAGCTTGAAGAGCCAATACATACTCTACCACTCTGCTGTTTCTTCTGTAGTGCTTATACTGTCAGGCTGGGCCTCAGAAGAAGAATAATCATGACATGAAAAAGAGCGTCCAGGTAGTTAGCAATGAAAATGTATTAGGATGAAAAGCACTTAGTGATTTTAAGCTACTAAAGTTTTGGAGATTGCTTCTTACTACAACATAATCTAACCTATGCTGTGTACCAATAGAAAAAGTAAGTAAAATGTTGCAAAGTATATTAAGAGTGCAGAAAATAGTACAAATGGGGATGGTGAGTAAACTAAATTTTCATTTAGGAAAGCAGGAAATCGATAGATAATGTTTTAAATGAAAATAAATAAGCATTTCATTTTTACTCTGAGTTTCTCACATAAGAGAAATCGTGATATTTAAGCTTTATTTCATTTAACATAATTATCTCAAGGTGCACCAATTTTCCTACAAATGACTCGTTTCTCTTTCTTTATGGCAGAGTGGGATAAAAAAAGGAATTAAGATGTGTTATGTATGTGTACCAACTTCCCACAAGGAATATAAATATTATGTACTACACATATGTACTAATAAACTAAAATAGAAAAAAATAAATATGGAGTCATGTTGTTTAGAAAGTTATGAAACTATTACAAATCAAATAAAAATCTGCTAAAAGATTTTGTAAGGAACAACAAGCCTAGGATAGGAAAGGGTAGGACAAGATTTGTGCTTTCATCATAAATGTTTCCAGACTTCTTTTTCTGGTATTATGGATTGAATCTGTGGAGTGCTGAGCTATATTACTAGCCCTTTTATGATTTTTATTTTGAGCCAGGCCATCACTAAGTTGTCTTGTTAGGTGGCTTCAAACTTGCAATCTTCTTGCCTCAGTTTCCTGAGTAGATAAAATTAATAAATATGCACCAGTATGCCTGGCTCTTCCAGATTCTTTTCAATGGTGTAAAATAACATGCTTGGGCCCAGGGATTTAGCTCAGTAGTTCCACTGCCTGCCTTGCAAGCGCTCAAGGACCTAAGTTCGATTCCCGGTATGCCCCCACAAAAGATAATAATGTGCTTGTACTCCTTTGATAATTCTTGAAATTTTCCTTTTATTTAACTTTAGTTTACACAGCCTCTAAAAAATGATCACCGTGGATTCTGGTAACATGGTCATAGAATCCAACTGAAGTCTCCCTAAAAGGGAAATTGTGCTTTGGAGAATTCAGACCTTATAAACCAAATTCATTCCTAAAGAACACTTCACTTTCTCCACCTGATGGCCAAAACTTCAAAATTAAGATGAGCATAAAAAGATTTTATCATGTATCATTTAATAACTTTTCAGAGAGAAAAAAAATATATCCAAATTATTTCTGCTTAGCAAGTAATGTAATTTAAACCTGTTATAGAATGAATTATTTGAAGACCTGGTGTTACTTAATAGACTTTTCAAAAAGTTTGAGCTGCAAAGTTATCTCAAGTGGATTCTTTGCTACTGTTGGCTAAACCTTTTTTCAAAGCCTCTTCTATCAATTCTATGGTTTATACGTAGATCCCCCCCCCAGCCCCATGCTCTCATGGGAGGTGAAGCCTAGTCTGAGGAGGTGGGTCATGGGGGCATGGCCTGGAAGGGCCTATCTTCCTCCTCCCTTGATCACTTTCTCTGCTTCACTGTCATGCCATAAGCAAGCCTCCTCGGCCATTCCACCCTGCCTTGGAGCCAACAGACTATGGACTGAAATCTCTACAAACTGTGAGCCAAAATAAACCTTTCCACCTTACAGTTGTGTGTGTGTTGGGTATTGTGTCGCAGTAACTATAAAGTAACTGAAACAATCACTATCAAATTCTTCGTAAAATTCATCTCTTACCTGGCCTCCAAATGGCCCCAGTCATATTGCATACTCTCTAAAACGTAGCTCCCAGTCTGTACAAATGATAAGCTCATCCAGGCAGGTCATATTTAAGAAAATGTCTAGCACTTTCAGCATCAGCCCTGTTATGATATTATGTGAAACAGAAACCACATGCCAATGTATTTATATTCTATCCAAGCCAATAAGTAAATTATTTTTTTAATTTTGTAACATATTTTGTGAGCATGTTCATTGTGGATATTTGGCACATGTGCCTGACACATCTTAACTCCTTTTTATGTCCCCTTTCCCTAGTCCCCTTCTCTCCTCCCTCCATCTCTTGGTCTTCTTCCAATTTGCGAAACATCTATCTGCCTGTTTCCTCTTATCTGCTTTTATTTTGCTCTTTACTCTTTTTAACTCTCTTTGAGTTTATTGGTACATTTTAGGTATACAGTACAATTACATTCATCATTGGGATCTTGTAGTACCCTTACATGACCGGTCTTGGTTCTCATTTTTTCCCTTTACCCCTGCCCTCCCTTCACCCCCTTCTCCCTTCCCTATTTACAAAAACTTTGTTTCCATTTTTTCATTTTCTCATATTCTTTCCTTTCCCTTATTCCCTTTTCCCCACCCTTCCCACTTTCCCTACACCTTTATCCCTTTTCTTCCTATTTCACATTGTCAATTATATCATTAGGATCTTATGTACCATTATAGGTTTTCATACTATTTTGCTCTTTACTTTTTCATACTTTGGATTTCTCATATGAGATAAACCATATGGTACTGAAGCTTATGTGTCTGATTATTTCACTTAACATGTTTTCAAGGTGCATGCATTTCTTAAAAATGACTCAAATCTACCTGTCTTTATAGCTGAGTACTATCCCATTGTATATAAATATCATATTTTCTTTACCCATTTATCTGTTGATGGACATGTAGGGGGCTTCCAAGATTTAGCTAGTAAGAATTGTGTTGCTATAAACATTGATATGCTATAACATAATGCCTTTCACTCTTTTGGGAAGATACCTAGTAAAGAAATGACTGGGTTAAATGGAATT